TCATCTGCTTTGACATCAAATTTGTTTTTGTGCTCCTTGGAATTGAAAAGAAAGCACCTTGAACCAAAAACATGAAAGAATTTCACGTTAGGTTTTCGATTGTTTAAGATTTCATAAGGAGTAATTAAAAATCGCTTATTGATGTAAGTTTGATTCAGAGTAAAGCAAACAGTTCCAATCGCATCAAAAGTAAAGTGGAAGATTAGCATATGAGAGCATCGTTCTTGCAGCTTCACACAACGATCGGTTTCGTCTTTCAACTACACCATTTTGTTGTTAAGTATAAGGAGATGAAAAATTATGACTAATGCCTTCGCTTGTCAAAAATTCTTCAAATACATGATTTTTAAATTCCTTTCCATTATCGCCGGGAATACTCCGAACTGGCTTTCGTAACTGTAATTCAATCTTTTTCACAAAATCAATCATCATTTTTGTAGTTTACGATTTCTGTTTAAGAAAGAAAACCCACGTGAGACGAAAAAAATCATCAAAAAAACAAGTTTATACTTATTACCACCATTACTTTCGATTGAATATGGACCACATAAGTCAATATGAAGTAACTCAAGTGGTTCAACAATCTTATTAGTCATGTTGATGAGTGACTCTTGCGACTTTATTTTCTTTGTTCACATGAAACACACAAATGATCCTTTCAAATTTAAGAATAGGAAGTCCTCGCACCAAGTCTCCCAAAATTAGTTTGTTGATATCCTTAAAGTCAAGATGCTTTTGCAAACAAACATATTGATGGTTTTGCAAACAAACATATTGATGGTTTTCCTTCAATCAGCTTCATATCAAGAGGATACATTTCACCTTTTCACTTTGACTTTAAAATTACTTTCGCAGTTTCTTTTTGTATTATTTTGGAACCTTCATCATCAAACGATACCTTCAATCCAGTACCTACAACAAGTTGAGACACACTTATTAGATTATGTTGTACTCCTTCTACATAAGCAACTTTCCGAAATGTAAATTCTCCATTAGTTGTCATTCCATATCCTTTGATTTCTCCAGTTGCATTGTTTCCATAATTCACTCTTCCTGCATCTTTCAAGCTCCTATACTCTCGTAATTGTGATTTCCTCCCATTCATGTGACGAGAACAGCCGCTATTAATATACCATTTGGAATCAAATTGTTTGTCACGAACTACCTACACAATCAAGGTAATTTAGGAACCCAACCCAACTTGGGCCCATGTGAGAATTTCAACTTGGCATAATCAATTGGAAAAATCTTAGACTTCTCAACCCATAATGATTTAGTAACTAGAACATTATTCACACCCAAAACCTTTTTGAAAAGTTGTGTCTTTTTATCACAAAGATTAATTTCAACAAATGATATTTTCTTTGAGTAAAATCATTAGCTTTTGGAATTAAGCTCTTAACAAAAACCTTTTCTTCTTTCTTTTGATTTGAAACAATCTTTTTAAGTTTTGAATCTACTTTTGAAATATATTTCTTCTTAACAAAGATTTTCTTTGTTTCATTTTTCTTCAAATTTGGTTTTGACGATTGACCAACCGATTTTTCCCTTTTTGAATAAAATGAATTTGGACAAACATTTGTTTTCACATTAGTGATAGGTGTTGAGCAATTTTTCATATTAGAGATCGAAATGGTTTGTTAGAATTTTGCTTTTTCTTTTGAGAAATGAACAAGAACAAGCATCAACATTATTATTTGATTTATTCTTTTGTATCTAAAATTTTCTTCTTTTTTGCATTAACTTTTTGAAACGAATTTTTCTTTCTTTATTCTTCTCTTTTCTTTCTTCTTGTGAAAGATTAGCTTTGACATTTTCAACAACAACCTTTGATTTTCCTTTCACATCTTTTACTTCACTTTCCTTTTCCGAACCACTCTCTTGTTGTTCCAATAAATCATCACTTCTCACCATCAAACATTTTCCAACTTTCTCACCTGCATCAACTTAATTGGAAACAAAACATTTTCCATGAGTTGGTTGCGAACCTCCTCATCTTCCAAATCAGTGAACCACACTTCAACACACCATCATCGCTATCCTCTTCTTCTACTATTAACGCTTTTCCTTGAGCTTTTGTCAATCGAAGTTCTGCAATCTTTTGAATATAATATGCTTCATCTTTTTGCTTCTCTTTCTTTTCATTCTGCTTTCGTAACATACATTCTTTTGCAAAATGATTTTTGTCATTACAGTAGTTGCAGTTAAATCCAGAATCACCTAACAATTTATTTTCCTTCTTCTCTTTCTCTTTCTGATAACCTGTTGAGTCTTCATTCTTGTTTTTCTCTGAATAAGAATTATTTCCTCTGTATCCACTTCCACCATTGTCTAATCTTGACGAGTTGTTGCCTCTACACTTTGCAAAGTTTTTCTTGAAAAACTTTTTTGGATTGCTCACCATCAAAGCTTTCTCCTTACTGGTGTATCGAAATCAGAATCAATAGTTTTTGACTTCTTCTCCTTAACAACATCACTCTTCGCAACTAAGGCAAGAGATCCAGCTTTCGGATTGACTTTAACATCTTCCATCACTTCATATTCATGAGTACGAAGAATTCCAACAACTTGGACTAATTTGTAAATCTTGAATTATTCATGAGCTTTGATAGTGGACACAATTGACTTGCACTCTGAACGCAAACCATTTAGAAACGTAACCTTCTGTTCAATCACAGTTCTTTCCAATCCATGTTTTAGCATTTTGCTAAGAAGATGATTGAACCTATCAACGGTTTGATCCAGAGTTTCATCGTCTTTTTGCTTGAAAGAACCAAATTATGATAGCAAGTTCGTCCGAATAGAATGAGTTTGATCTTCATCTCCAGAGTAAAGTTCCTTCAATCAATCCCAAATCTGTTTTGCAATATTGAGAGAACTTATCAATCTGAAAGTATTTGGAGTAAGAGCAAATTGTAAGTCTCTGTTGGCACGAAGATCATTTCAAAGCATGTCTTTCTCATCCTGAGTGAGATCATGTTTGTCTACAATGTCTGAATAATCACTTTGATTATATACAAACATATTTGCTTTAGAACAAGCATGTGGACCTTTCATAATCAATTCCCACATATGCGGACCATGATCTTCGATACCAGTAATGTAATCTTCAAAATACATTGCCCACACTTCAAAATCTTCAGGAAAGAGGATTTGAGTATTAGATTTGATACCGCTTGGCAAATTAGTTCCACTTGAAGGATCAACTTTACACATGATTTTCAAGAAAAATTGATTAAGAATCAATACACTTGGCACAAAATTGGATTCAAATCGAATAAACGTAATCTGAATTAAGAATCTCATATAAAAAATGCAAGAAAATTACAGATTGCGGAATAGATCTAAGAAAATATGACGAACACAAAAAACGTGAAAAACACTCGATGAAGCAGAATCGAATGAATAGATTTGATGATGAGCTCAGAGATATTCACGCTCTAATACCACTTGTTAGATTGAAAGATTCAATAAAAATGAAATCATATTTGAAATTACATGATCAATAAGAACACTCAAGCGTAAATAAGATCTGATTTTTCATTAGAGGATAAAATGAATGTGATTACAACTTGTTGTAAGACTCCTATCAAAATATACCCTCTATTATCAACACGTTCACCTTATATATGGAATACAAGGGAAACGGTTGAGCAGTGACCAATGAGATCATGACTAGGGGTGTTCGTTTGGATGGATCGGTTTGATCCGATCCAATCAAGTGAATCCAAATTGATTTCGGTTTTCAAAACATGGATCGGAATAATCCAAACTAAATTTAAATCTGATCCGATCCGATCCAATTACAATTCGGTTGGATCAGTTTTTATAATTCGGTTTTCAAAAACCGAAACATTTTAAAACGACAAATAATTATAATATTACTAAACT